TTTGCACACCCTCAGTAAGGTCCAGAACACATTCGGACCTGGAGGGAGTTTCCAACACCTTCCATGGGAGTCCTTCGTCAACATGGAGGTGGAGAACCAGCTCAGACGCGCCGGAAAGATTCCCAAGGACAAGAAGGAAATAGTGGTCACGGAGACGAAGCTGGAGTTGCAATCAAAGGAGACTGAGATCATGGAGACGCAGACGATTGAAGGAGTGCTCGCCCTGCAGGACGTCTTCAACCTGAGAGCGCGCGCGTTTCACGTGGTAGATGTCTGCAAGTTCGGGGTGGTCTCAGAGTACTCAGGGAAGATCATCTCCCTCCTGAGAGCCACCACTCCGGAAGGCATGAGGCAGCCGACATTGAATGAGGCCAGGAGAGCGGACAGGGAAATCATGGGTGAGATCATGAAGTGGGTCAGCAAAGGCAAGGGCACCATTGAAGCCGGCCTGAACCACTACACCCACTCCCAGGACGATCCCCTGTGGAAACTCATGTCACAGCAGCCAGAATCCCTTCCTGATCAGGGCAGAGAGAGGGCAGTGAAAGGCGGGAGGCCGGTCAGCCCGGAAGCCGATCCACCCCGGAAGTCGAAAAGGCCCCGGGAGGAGGATCATTCTCCGGAGGACCTGAAAGGCCCTGCCAGGCCTCGCTTTTGCCTCGTCTGCAAGAAGAGACACGAGCCGCGCTGCCGCTTCCCACCAGATTGGAGGCAGCAGCAGAAGGAGCGTAAGAAGGAAAGAAGGCGATCCGACAGAGACAATCGTCAGAAGAAGTCGGACGCCGACAAAAAGGACAAGAAGTAGGGACAACTCCTCCCAGCCCTGCGTGCGACCAGCAGAGCGGGAGGTCTTTTTAAAAAGGGCACAGTGATTTCATCGCTAGGTGTCAAAAGAAAGGTCGCAAAGCCTTGGGATTTGATGAGGGGGCTGGACGTCTTCAGAGATCATCTCGATCTGAAGGCAGACCTTAGAAGTGCCACATTGGGCCCCAAACTGCAGTACTTTTTCCAGGGCGAGGGAGAGGCCTATTCCAGGGGTCAAATGCCCACCAAAACCCTTGAGAAATGTTTTTTTCCCCAAGGGTATTCCGGAGGTGGTAGTTTCACTGCCCCAATCCAAACGTAGGAAGCTAGAACTCGATACCCAGATGGCAGATATGGCCGCTAGGGATTGTGAGTTGGCTCATGCAGACGGCAGGTACTTCAGCTTGGAGCACCCAAAGAACTCCATCGCGAGAGGCCTGGAGTCCTGGAGGCGCCTCGAAGGGTTGGAGGGGGTTTCGTCCACCGAATACCACGCTTGTATGTTTGAAGGGTGTAAACGTCGTAAGTCTCAAGTTTTAATTCATAATATTCCAGGGATGGGGGAAGCGATAGGGCGGAAGTGTGGCAGTAGCAATAAATGCTCAAGAGCGCAAACGGCTCACCAGAGCTGGAAACCTTTGGTCAGAAACGGGAAGGTACTAGCCTTCGCGACTAGTGAAGAAAGGGAGTACAGTAGAGGCTTCTGTGAAGCCTACGCTGCCGCGCTGAATAGCCTGCCTGGTTCGCAGCATACATTTCTGGAAATTTTCTCGGGGCGTAACGCACCACTCAGCCATGCGGTTGGCAGAAGTTGGGGAGTCGAAGTCCCTGGGCCAAAGGCCATAGTTGGCTCCAAGGGAGATGCAGTCGAGCTGTCCGAGCTACCCAAGGCAGTGAGTGTTGGCCCATCCCCCTTGGCGCAGCTCCAGTCAGCGGGAGTCAACGATGACTCCTTTATGGGGGTCCCCCGCAGTTCGGGAGCAGCTCGCCTTACGGGAGTAACCCAGCAGCCTCTGGGAAGCTTGAAGCAGCAGCAAGAAGTTAACCCATACCGTCTGGCAGCCGTCCAAGCGGGCAAACAGCCGAGTTATGGGAAGCGGGCCCAGCTTATTCCAGATGGACTAGGGCCGCCTATAGACCATCTCTCGCTGGCCAAGAAAGCAGAACACCCCTTTGACTCGCTGTCAGTACTGAAAGAGGATCACAGAAGGGCCTTGCAGGCTCTGGCTGCCGATCCGCAGAGGGTAGTGGCAGACCGTTTTACCTCTCTCGACAAGCTGAGACAATGGTCTTCAGAGCTTTCAAGGGCACAACGAAACGAGAACGCCCAGGCCAGCTGGACGGCTCAGAAACTGGGCTTGAAACCCAAGACGGTCCTTATGAAAAGGCTCCAGAGGATCTTACAGATCGAGGATACCGATGTTCCGCAAGCGTGCCTAGACGGGCTGAGGATCACTGGAGAGGCCTCAGTTTCACCATTCTTTGAATCTTTTCCTGTGCCACCCAGCATGGGACTGTCCGAGTTTCACAGCCAGAAGCGCGCAAGGTCATCTAAGATGATCGAACGCGTCCAGTACATGGGTCAAAAGGGCCCACCAGAACTGGCCCAGGCCATATGGGAAAAAACCCTCAAAGAGGTATCCCAGGGCACTATGGGCCCTCCCATGAACTGGGAAGAAGTGGTAGAGAAATACCAGGATGATTTTCAGATCACCCCCAGTTTTGGCTTAGAACAAGGGAGCGATGAGCATGGCGCCCCGAAGTTCAGGCGCATTGATGACCATAGCGCCTCGGGAGTTAACCCGTCGGCCCATCGGCTACAGAAAGTGCCAATGTCAATGATTGACTATGTGGGAGTTATGCTCCGCTCCATCTCCCAGTCTTGCTGTGAGGTTTCCATGGCGACGGAGGACATGAAAGGCGCTTACAGGCAAGTTCCCCTTGCCCCTTGTGATGTTCGCTATTCTATCACCGCAGTTTGGAACCCGGCAACCCAGAAGGCGCATTTCTTCGAAATGTTTGGCCAGCCGTTCGGGGCCGGTCATGCAGTGCCTAACTTCTGCAGGGTCGCAGAGTGGCTTTGTCGGTTCCTCCAGCGGTTCTTTTATCTGCATGTCGACCACTTCTTTGACGATTTCTTCGCAATTGAACCATCCATCACCCTCACCTCGGGGATGTTTGTAATGCGCGAGGCATTCAAAACTCTGGGGTTTACACTTGACCCTGACAAGTCGCAACCACCTGCTCAGATTTGCGCCATCCTTGGGGTACTTTTTAACACAGCCCTGCTGGCCGCAGAACGGAAGTTCAGCATTGCAGCCAAGCCTTCCCGCCTTTCCAACTTGGAGTCGCTTATCCGTTCTGTGCTTGAAAAGGGCGAATTGTCCCCGTCCTTGGCAGCTAGCTTAGTAGGGAAATTTTGTTTCTTGTGTTCCACACTTTTCGGAAAAGTGGGACGGTGTTGCACTGCGCCGTTACGCCATCGTCAGTACTCATCATTCCGACACACGGCCTTAACTCCTTCCATCCGCTCCTCTCTTCATCTCATGCTTCAGTTCCTTGTTGAAACATTCAGCACCCCTGATTCTGTACACAGATGCCTCGGATGTCCCTGGGAGAGTTCCACAGCGCCTCCTAGGAGCTGTCCTCTTCGACCCTCTCGACAATGGTCTCTTCTACTCCACTTGGCCAGTTCCCTCGTCCCTCGTTTCAACCTGGCTCCCCAAGAAATCCTTTATGGGGCAGTTGGAGTTATTAGCTGCTCCATTTGCGCTCACTACGTGGGAACCCCGAATCACAAACCGCTCCATCCTCCTTTTCATTGACAACGACAGTGCAGCTGCGTCGTTAGTTAAAGGATATTCTCCCCAACACGATGGCGCTTCTATCGTTGGAGAATTCTGGCTTCTAGCAGCCTCTCTTCGTTCTCATGTGTATATAGACCGAGTGGAATCCAAGAGTAACATTGCTGACGGTCCGTCACGCAACGACTTTACCTTGGTCAAATCCCTTGGGGGACTCTGGTCTGTTCCGAGGACCGGCACCCTCGGGACGCCCTCACGCTCCCCTCCTGTCTGGTTTGGCACACCAAGTCAATCGGGGGGGGTAAACCAGGAAGTTTGCTAACACCCGCCAGTAGGGTAATATTAGCGGGGGGATAAGTGGCGGGGTATCTTCTTCTGGTGGAGCTTGATCTTGCCCGATTCTCCCTAAGTTTGCGCATGGGACTTAACGGGAGATAGATGGGAAGCAGATCAAAAAGGGTTGTGCCAGTTCCCATCCCAACGTACCTCCGAGTCTACGAAGGAAAAAGAGTGCTGTCCGATAGCAAGGGTGCATATTTATTAGTTTTGCCGAAGGTAATACGGTAAATGTGCACAGAAGCGGCCGGACCGCGGCCATTTTGGCTACAAGCATCGGACAGCATCCCTTATACCCCTCCTTTTTCTCTCCTCACCCACCCACCCGGAGAAAGTGGCGGGGTATCTTCTTCTGGTGGAGCTTGATCTTGCCCGATTCTCCCTAAGTTTGCGCATGGGACTTAACGGGAGATAGATGGGAAGCAGATCAAAAAGGGTTGTGCCAGTTCCCATCCCAACGTACCTCCGAGTCTACGAAGGAAAAAGAGTGCTGTCCGATAGCAAGGGTGCATATTTATATATATGTGTGTGTGCGTGCACATGTATATATGATCTACATATAGAGATGATATACATATATATATATAATAATAATGTATAGATAGATGATATATGATATACTACATTAATCTGTATATATAATATATGATATGCATGGAGATGGTCCACCTTGCATGTTCCCATGGAAGCAGGGCTCCAAAGCCACACGGTATTTGATGGTAGATGGGAAGCAAAGTCTTGCTTTTCCAAGGTTTTTTAAAAATCAATGGGCATTCCTTCCGGGAAGAACTCAGCTTTCCTCAGCACCCGTAGCAGCTCACTCAGTCACTTAGCAGTTCCTGGAGAAGGCGAATTTAGATTTAGACCGTCTCCAAGTGATACCTCAGGATGTGAAAACTAGACAATAAATGAAAATCGATTGTTTTTAAATAATGAAGTGATCAACAAAATGATGAAGATATGATGAAACGATTAATCAAATCGTTGATTACGAGAGAGGGATATTAGGTCAGATTTTTCCTCACTAGGGCTATCCATTGGGTTTGGGTTCTGCAGGACGACCGGCCACTCATTGCACAATTGGGTGGCGACGATCCAAAGACCATGTTGCAGGTCATGGGGGTCCAGGGGCCCCCTGGGGCATGGGGCTGGGCAGTGAATTCCAGAGCTGACAGGCCAGTGATGATTGATGATATTGATGATATTGATGATAGATGATAGATGACGACGTTGACGCTACCATGTATATATTACTGTCCTTGCTATTATAGTTGCTAGTAACTTAATTATTGCTATGATTACTCTGATTATTGCTGAAAGAAAAGTAAGGGGATCATCACAATATCGCCAGCGAGATAACGCCCGCTATGCAATGCGATGCTTTCGCCTAGGCGGCACATCACTTGGAGCCTTATGTGGATGGCATCGATGTGAATTTCGGGTGTCCTACAGAGGATGCGCGCAAAGGCACAGGGTTTTTAGGGTGTCCTACAGAGGATGCGCGCAAAGCCACAGGGTTTTTCAAGGGGTGTCAGGGGTGAGAGGCCTTTAGAGAGCGAAATGTTCATGTCAGCCTCAAGCACAAGTAGATTCAATGTCTTTGGATGTTGTTGTGTAGCTTCTTGCTGCAGTTTTGAATGCATTTGAATGCTGGTGGCAGCTTGGGTAGACTATGTACAACCATGTGCCCAGATGAGCGCACATGGGTTTGATTTAATTTAGCTGCCTTCGAAAACTTGGAAATGGTTCAACCATGATTCACCCTCCACTGATGTTAAACAAATATCCACACTGTATATCCAGTGGAATGGAAGTCTTCAGATCTGTGGGCAACATCAAGTTAAAATGAATTAAACTGCGATACCCTCTTTATGGACATGTTTCCCCATTAAATGCCCATGTAGAAAGGATTTTCCATATCCAACCGAGGGGCCTCCCAGGGGGTCATCAGACCCATTCGCCTCGCTGCCGCCGGTATGGAGCCTACCTTCTGCGGGACACAGCACGGGTCACGCGTATCGTTGGAACATTGGCCTCGGGCTTGAGAAAAGTGCCAGTGACAGTCGCATGGCAAGGGCCAAGGGTTGGGTTTGAGTTGGGGAAGGAGTGATGGACGTTGACTGATTGATAAAATTGTAATTAATGAAGTGCACGTAGACGTGTGTGGTTTTGACGTGTGTGGTGTGTGCGTGTGTGTGTGTGTGTGTATGTGGTGTGTGCGTGTGTGTGTGTGTGTGTATGTGTGTATGTGTGAGCAGGATAGTGTGGTTTTATGGATGGATAGAGTATGGTATAATGTTGAGCATATACCAATTCCATTGCGTACACTTCTGGCAAAAATAAGGACAAACTCGTAGGCAGCCACACCAGCAAATGATATATTCGGCGTGCATCAAAATGACATACCGCAGCCGAACCTGTTTCACTTATTCTATTTGAATACGTTTGACGTTTTGTTGCACAGGCATGGTGCTGGCTCATGACAAGTTTGGTTATGATGCTCTGAACTCTGAACCGCTCCGAACATGTTGCTGTTTGCCATGGATATGTGGCACACAACAGGCCCCTAAGTTGGCCAAGCTAGTTACGCTTGATAGATGCCAAACTACTGGACAAAATTGCAAAAAGTAACGCAGTGCCAGCAAATGTGCAAAAAACGCCAGCAACCGCAAAACAAAAAATAGCAAGTGCCCAGAAAGCATTGTACCTTTAACAAACTATCCCAAAAATCGCCCCGAACTTGGATTTTCTGAATAGTACGTGTTCATTTTCTGATGTGTGAGCTAACCGTTAATCAATGTAGGGAATCTATTGGGAATCATGACCTCACTCTTCGCGGCCTAGGCGAAAATCCGCTTGCTGCCCCAGCGTCGGGCCAGCATCGATTTAGCCCTGGCCATCGAGGAGAGCGGTGCTGCTGCACTGTGTGTGCACGGCCGGACCTTGGCCCAGCGACCGCTCCTTGGATGGGGCCTGGTGCTGCGGAAGTTTTCCGATGGGGATTTAGCGGGGTTCCAATGGATCACTGGATCATCTATGATGAATGTTAAGCCGGGATTTTGCTAAAGCACCAGTTTAATCATCGGGGACGACCAATTAGCAAATTATCATAATTTGGGGGGTGCTTAATTAAGAGTCCGGGGTTCATTAAGTCTGGGGTTGACATTGTGAATATCTTCATGAATCCCAATGTTTGAGTGGTTAACTTCTGATTTTATGGTGGGCAAGTCGTGAATCCTTGTTATAGAAATCTTGATTAATTCTGAGATATTTTTCGGTACTTATTAGATAACAATTCTTGTGGCTTCCCTTGGAAAACTGGTTGGTTATCCAAATCAGGGTAGCTATACCTATGCTTAACAAATTATGAACAGGGCCCCTTTGTTTCAGGGAGTGTTACCCAGGGAGAATCCCGGTCAGCCCAGAACTTGTTGAACATCCAAACCCAAAATCAGTGTCGGGGGGAGAAAGTTGATAGACATATCTTTTGATCCTTGATGACTTGGTTTCCTGTGTTGTAATGTGTACAGTGTACAATATATTTGGCTGAGAGACTGCATCCTCTGATATATAGCAACTTCCCTCGGCACCACAGGCGAGTGAATTCAAACAGAATTATCCTCAACAATATTCAATTCTGTACATGTCGCCTTTATTTGATGATTTGAACATGCATTTTTGGTCAGCATTTTCAACTGTGTTCTTGTCTGTGGCCTATGGGAGTCTAGGGCGTTTTCTTTCATAAAAGGAAAGGAAAAAACATGAAAACTCCGCACTTGGCAAGAAGATCATCATGTTGTCCAATGTTGGGCTGGGTTGGAACAGTAAACCTATGGTAGTTCTCCCACTACCAGGCTGATGTCTAAATTGAAGCTCGGGACACCCAGGAAATATGCAGAGAAACATGGAGTTGAAAGTCTGGCTCCAGATTGGGATACCTGGCCACAGCTGCTGGAATACCCGGAATTGGTTTTGCCTGGTGAATCTGGTGATACGTACACATTCAATGTTTGAGTTGCTCGCCATTTCACCTATCTATTCAATGGCAATTTTTGGGGGGGCTCGAGACTTTGGAGGTCTGCACCGCCAAAGTCAGCTCTAAGGGACTCAAATGTTTACTCAATCTCTTCACCAATTGTCGAATTAAATTGAATTGTGGGTTTCTAGATTTACGTTACTAGATTGGTTGAGTGGAACATCTACATGAAACATCATAAAACCATGGTTTTGACATGTTTTGACTGGCAATTTGAGGGTTTCCTACAGATGTTCCCTTCACCTCTGGGATTATGTGCTTTGGTTCAATGGATTCAGCGCGTGAGATTGTTGAGAAGGCGCATGAAAGCCACATGTCGTCCATGATCTTTGATGTTTCAGGGGCAGACAGAGTTTTGCAATCATACTTGGGCGCTGTTAAACATCACCTTTCGATTGTTTTTGTTTTATGTCATATTTCCGTTGGATTATGTTTCAATGGGGTCAAAATCGCTTCCATCTAAATCCTGATGGTTAGATCCCAATAGAAACATATGGAAACCATATCTGTGGTCGTTTTGGTTGCATGGCATGGATGAGCCTACCTACGCGAGGATGCCATTGCCGAGATTGCCAGGGTGCTGAAGATTCCTGTGATCGCCAACGGTGGCATCGAAAGCAGGAGCGCTTTGGCGCTGTGGAGGTGTCCATTGCTGCCTATTGTCATAGGATGATAGGATCATTTCCTGTATGGGAGATATGATAAATATACGATGTACAGCTATAAAGATATTGAGATATGATGTGTGAATATACAGTATGTGATATATCACACATATCATTACAGTATATCCTAAGACTTGATCAGTCTCATCTTGGCACGATCTCTGTGCTGAGCGAAGCGGTCAGACTTACTGACAATGGTTTCCAACCCTTAAAAAAACATTCAAAGATCCTCGAAGATTTCAAGAACTATGCGCCAGTTACTAATCACTGATACCAACTTCAGGTTTGATCCTCTCTTGGAAGATTATCCCACTGAGTAAGTAGTTGCTTTTTGAAAAATAGCCTAATTATATAACAGATGGGAAACCCCAAGAATAATGGGTTTTTTTCCCACGTAACAACCGTTTTTTCCCCCAGTTGCTACAGGACGGACGCCCAGCGCTGCTTATCACAGACGGGCTGCGCTGCGGTGATGTCAGCGGAAGCGTTGCTGGAGAAACCGGACCTCTTTGTGGAAGACGAGGTGCAGCGCGGGGGATGGGAAGGGACTGGTTTGAGGGAAGAAATCTGTCAACTGGTTGGGTATGATGTGCAACCCTTTCTGTAGAGTTACGATATGTTATGATAATGATAGATGATGAGATGAACTGAATTGAGATGACACAAGATCAGATTGATCGAAATCATTCGAAATTTGGATATGGATATGCGCAGGGGAAAAGTAGTCTTCCAACCTTCTGGCAAGGTGGTCATGTTATGGGATGGCACTTCTTATGACTAAATTTGAGTATGGAAAACTCACTAGGAAACCCCTGTACTGGTAGTTGATGGTAAACATTAAACACCATGGTTTCCCGCATTTTTGCCTTTACTTTACATTGATGGTGATTTAAAAAAAACTAAGCCCTCAATGATTTCCGAAGAACCCCACTGAAAACGAAGAACGCAAAACATATATTATATTATATTATTTTATATTATTTTATTTTATTTTATATTATATTATTTTATTTTATATTATATTATTTTATATTGTATTATATTTTATTATATTATATTTTATTTTATTATATTATATTATATTATACCCAATATAGAACCCCAAATATCTAGAAATTGAAAGGATGGTCAACACCATGTTGTTTTCAATTGTGAACCATGGCCATTTTCATCCCACTTCCGGAAAGGAGCCTGCGATCCCACGGATGCTGCGCCTCAGCCGTGAGTTTCTGGACCTGGCGGAACGGCACCCTTCGCCCTTGAAGCGCCCGCGGTCGCAACGTAAGTGGCACTTGGGGAGTTATAACATGTATAACTCACTAGTTTAAGCTACCGGCGCTGTTAACGGACCCGCAGGTTTTGCTGTTTTTTGCTGTCGCATTGCACGTCAGTTAGAAGTATTGCACGTCAGTTAGAAGTATTGCCCGTTAGTTAGAAGTATTGCCCGTTAGGTAGAAGTATTGCACGTCAGTTAGAAGTATTGCACGTCAGTTAGAAGTATTGCACGAAGGATAGTGTGATTTTCTTGGGGAACCGGGTGGGGGGGTGGGGGGTTGGGGTGAAGAGGGGCCCTAGCGTCTATTCAAGATCAGCTAAGGCGTCTTCCCAAGACAGCTCACACGCTTTTTACTCTCGGCGTATTGCCAGTCCGCGCGGTGTCCACAGGGTTACTCTATATTACTATGTACCTCTTGAGCCTTGAAGGGCGCATATAAATGTGCTCAATACTCATGCATGTACCCGCATAGGTATTAGGTCGAAACAAAAATATGGGGTGGGGGGGCAAGGGGTACGCTGTAACATGTCTCTTGTCACTTGCCAGACGCTCTGGATGCTACGCTGTAACATGTTCTCAGGACGCAAGAAGAAACCATTACCCATCTACTTCCTCACACACTTGCGTTGGGCTGGTTGCGTGGAGCGTGGAGAAGGAGGACGCTTGCTTCTGTGCCACCTCGATCACATCTTGTTGCAGCCTGGATCATGTCCTGCCACAGAGTCTCTCCGAGATGTTCGAAAAACCGGATTTCTGAAGCAGTTGAAACGTCCTTGCACTGTATACGGGGATGGTGCAAAAAGTTGGAGATCTGACTGCAAACGACATCGCCTTTGCTTCAGCGATGTGACACACTACAAGATGGAGTTCACTCGCAAGACCAAAGTCAATCAAAAGGTACGCATCAGTGGAACACAGTTGCTGGACCAGGTCTGGCGCCACCTGAAGCGCTTCGTACCCTTCTCGGTCCATAGCAAAGACAAAGTTACCAGGAAGGGTTCTCAAAGAATCCACAATATGTGTGGCGCCATTTACGACCCGATGGCCAAATGCAAACTTCATGTTCTTGTGATGAAGATGCTACGCCACATGTGGGTTGGGTGGGGGTGGGGTGGGGCACTGATAACGTTCCTGTTGATGCTACGCAACTCACAGCTCTACGCAGCAACCGCAGGGGACAAGGTACGCAACATGTGATGAAGATGCTACGCCACATGTGGGTTGGGTGGGGATGGGGTGGGGCACTGATAACGTTCCTGTTGATGCTACGCAACTCACAGCTCTACGCAGCAACCGCAGGGGACAAGGTACGCAACATGTGATGAAGATGCTACGCCACATGTGGGTTGGGTGGTGATGGGGTGGTGTGGGGCACTGATAACGTTCCTGTTGATGCTACGCAACTCACAGCTCTACGCAGCAACCGCAGGGGACAAGGTATGCAACATGTGATGAAGATGCTACGCCACGTGTGGGTTGGGTGGGGATGGGGTGGGGTGGGGCACTGATAACGTTCCTGTTGATGCTACGCAACTCGCCGCTCTACGCAGCAACCGCAGGGGACAAGGTACGCAACATGTGATGAAGATGCTACGCTGCTACGCCACATGTGGGTTGGGTGGGGATGGGGTGAGGCACTGATAACGTTCCTGCTGATGCTACGCAACTCACCGCTCTACGCAGCAACCGCAGGGGACAAGGTACGCAACATGTGATGAAGATGCTACGCCACATGTGGGTTGGGTGGTGATGGGGTGGTGTGGGACACTGATAACGTTCCTGTTGATGCTACGCAACTCACCGCTCTACGCAGCAACCGCAGGAGACAAGGTACGCAACATGTGATGAAGATGCTACGCCACATGTGGGTTGGGTGGGGATGGGGTGGGGCACTGATAACGCTCCTGTTGATGCTACGCAATTCAGCTGTTGGATGGCTTGCGGAAGATTCTTTTAAAAAAAAAATGTTTCCAATTTGCGAACTCGCGGGAAGTTAGATCGCTATGTCGACCAGCGCTTGCTGAACCAGATTCAAGCCTTCATGTACAGACACAACTCAGGTCATAACCTGTGGAAGGAACTGGGAAAGCTGGCCAAGAAGAGTCGACGCTGAACAACTTGCAAGGGTGAGTTGAGAAATGAGTTCTGCTGAATGACTGGTGGAACCGATGTGACTGAATCTGGCCAACAGAAGGGAACAAAAATAATTCTTCTCAGACGTGTTGAAAATCGATGAACGCTCCACACGAAACGCACTTTTGGGGGCTAGCTGGCCCCAGTGGAAATACGACTTGACGTTTTTATTACGTTTTTACAAAACCTTCCAAACACCATGATTTTGTGAACGAAGCATCATGAAAAATCAATGAATTACCCCGGGTCGCTAACCGCGCCGTAGCCTAGTTTAACGGGGGATGTTCCACTAATGTGGGAAACGCAATAAACCTACCATTTGGGGTTTATAGCAGCCATTTATGGTGATTTTGGGATATTTTGTGGATTTGTTTATTGTGATTATTAGCCACTTAAGATTCCTGGGATGCACAACCAGAGTATAGATAGTCGTCGAGAGATGGGGGAAGAGATTATAAATTATTTGATGGAATTGAGTGTCAAATTCTGGGACAGTCCCATAAAGACCTACAGTCTGATGATAAGTAAATATGCATGCCATCCAGTACTCCCTCTCTCTATATCTATACAGATGATTTATATATATATACACACTCTTGTATTAAGCCCTGGCAAAAAATGCCCGCATGCTGCATACGTGGAACCCAAATGACATCTACTTTTGATGCTGTGTAAACCTTGACTGGACAGTTTATCTATGGAAAACCAATGATTACTCTGCATGTATGTTACATTACATGTAGTGAGAGTAAATCGGTGCATATACTGACGCACACTTGTTTGAAAGGTGTTTAGCACTAGCCATGGATGCTTCGACATATGTGGGATTACTGTATGTGTTTATGTTTGTAGGCAGATTTGGTCCGGTAGGACATGCATAGTGGAAGCCACTACTTGGGGCCCATTGCTATCCTGCCATGAATTCTTTCCGACAAAACCGTGGAAGTTTGTTATGATCAGATGCTAGGAAGCGACCAGGTGGCTAATTCTGTCCAACATGGTTCTTTCATGGGATACTGTACTGCTTCTCTTTCATGAGTAGTAGCGGCTTTGTCCGACCAAGTACCAAGTACTGCAGGTCCGTTGGGGCATATTCCGATATTATTTGCCATTGCTGTTTTGTTGGTTTGGGTTTGGCTTCAAGTATTAACAAACAACCAACAAATCTATGATACCAACAAATAGTCATGGCACTCTTTAGCTTTGAATCATATATATATATTTGTTTATTTATTTATATTCATATATAATATAAACCTCCATGGCTAGATCAGGGATTTGCATGGATTTCCCAGCCATGTTTGACTCTTTGGCTTTAGATGATAAACCAACGTAGGCTTGGCTGTTTCTTCGCTGGATTTGTTTTCACATTTTACCCCCAAAAAAAATCACCATATGTCTACGTTGAATTCCTAGCTTGTGACGCCAGGTATCCGCCAACCAAGTCGCATTTGTTCAAGATCCTGCGCCGCCTCATTGGAGTAGACCAGGCACAGGCGCGTCGCAAGGCAGCAGCTGGGGAACCTTTGACGACGCCTGGCGGAGCCGGGATGGCCGGGGCCAATGACCATCATTTTTAGAGGGATTTCACACTCTTTAACATGATTCAATCAGCAAGTAGATATATAGAAAAAATATAGGGATATAATTGAGAAATTCTGGTTGGTTGGTGATTAGTTCGGGGTTGCACTATCCTCTTTATGTTCGGGATGCTCGGATGTTCAACGTCCGTTATGCCAAGGCCTATTTACCGACCCGCTGAATGGAATGACGGAGTGTTTTGAACACTCAAGGCAAGTATGTTCATTAATATTCATTGATCAACATGAGTCACCAACAGGCCAACTACCCACTACATCCCAACACGATGATTGATCTTAAAACGATAATGTTAATTGTTAATCATCATATTCCATGGTCTTAATATCCCATGGGTTCTATACGAAAATTCACTGGTCAGAAATCAAACTGCAAATGTGTTTTAAAATTGGATCCGTTTGGGGTAGTAAAAACATTTGAGAACCATACCCGTCACAGGAGCTTGTTGCAGGTGGGCAGTGACAAGCTCCAACGATCAGCCCCAAAAAGAGATAATGATATCATGTATATAGAGATATACATTTGACACGTGGAACCATTTGAAAATCAAAAGGCGGTGGCTATTGACACACTGAAAGTTGGACATACCAGGCTCCCATGGCATGGTCATCAAAACTGCTTCTGAAATGTGTGGCAACGTAATTGTTGTTGGAATGCCTGTTTCCGGCCATGGCGAATTTAGCCAATGTCAATGCGTGCGGAAAAACATGCTGCCCCCAACATGTATGTTCAAGCATGTGAGGGGGGACAAACTGATAACTTCTCTTTTCACAACGTCAACAACATCTATTCCTTACCCTGATGTAATGAACTTTAGGTTGGTTGAAACTCCATCTTTGATGGGGTACCCATTTTCTCCCATCAATGTCGACTATCAATTTGGGGGGTGCCAACAAACTGGAGATCAAATATTGTTAAAGCTGGTAGCCACCTATTTGAGGAAAATGAGGTTAGCAACAGCAACCTCCTGAGCTAACATTCATCCCCATCCAGAATGATCCATTAAAGATCATTAAAGCCACCACTCAATCCCCATATAACCCCCATTACATACGTTCATATTATATATGTTTTTGATTGTTTTTGGTTTATAAATCCTCATTAAATTCGTCCCCATAAATCAAACATCCAGGGTTCACATTTCCTGTGATCAATGGGCCCGGCCTCAGGGAACGCGAAAAGTTGAAGCTGGCGCTGATGTGTTGTCCGGTCAGCGACTTCCACGCCATTCGCAACGCCTTGGCACGCCGATCGAAGTCGGGGCGGGTCGCAACGGTGGCAGACTGTTTGATTTACTGCGATAGGCCATGGTTAGTTGGTTAAATGGTTGGCAGCGCCGTACACATGGATATGCATGCATGATCATGCATGTACATCTACTAATATATATATATATAATATATATATATATAATATATATATAATTTATATATAATATATATATATTATATATTATATAATATATATATTTTATATTATATATATATGTGTGCGTTTGTGATATTATATATAATTGAATGTATATATGCTAATATATCCATAATACCATAATATTATATATATATGCAAAAAAGACTAGATACTATATAAACATAATGGGTTTATGTAAAGCTGCTTGTGAACCAGTTAGCTCAGCCCATGGCAAAGATAAGACCCAAAATGAACAGATCCAATCTGATCCAATACCTTTCACCAGGACTTCAATTCTGCTTGGGGCGTTGGAGTTGGGGCCGCTTAAATGTGGTTCCGATCCCCTGCACTTTGGTCCAGCTAGGTGTTGATCACGAAATGCATGTCTAGCAAGACACATGGATGCTGGAACTATTTGGTGAAGCTGTTCATGTTTATGTAGACTATTATAGACTATTATTAATTATTCTGTGTTTTCATCATCTTCTCAAAGCATGTGCTTGTATGTTTTCCGAGATGATATGGCAACTTCTGGTGTTCCAACCCTGTCTCCAGTTCACTCGTCCCATCCTGACGTGGTTTCTGAAGGACCACATGGAAGAGAAAGCTGCTGATCATTTATTGGGTACCTCTTGGTACCGGCGGTGGCGGCCAGAAGAAAAGGGCGGCGATGGTTCTTTTCCAACTTGTCGATCGATTAGTAGAGAGGGACACACACAACTTGGGTTGCAGTTTCCAAGCTGAGTTTCAGGGTCTCGGCCATGAAAGATTGACATCTTTTGGCAAGTTGGCTCAAAGAAAGCTCATGAAGGCTGCACAAAAAGCTGTAAACCAAAAGGATCAACAAGTCAGCAAACAGGCCAGGTAGGATGTGAGCCATCAGACCGTCAGTGCATGTCATTGCTCTTTGTGACGCCAGCAATGCTAAGGATGGAAACATCGTGAAAACAAAAACAAACGTGCCACAATTTGCTCCCCAGGGTCAAACTGGATTTATATAGATTCTTTCCCAATGATTTCGTTCATTCTTGTATTCCATTCAAGCGTCGGCAGCACGGCGCTTCTTGGTTCCCATGGGCTGTGGCCGTGCGCAGTGCAAGCGGTCATTTCGACTGACACCCTTGTTGCTTGGATTGTGCAGGGTAATGTTTGACGCAGTTGTTTGGTACAGCACTGAAACCAGAAGGCCCACAACTGCCAGAAACTCATGTAAATAGATTGTGAATAGCATATTATGATTACTTAATTCTACACTAACATTTTTTCCCCTTATGGTTGGTAGGATCCTCTATATCAACATGTATCAACTCACTGTCCGACAGTTCAAAAAGCCAATGCCTGTTGGTCTTCGCAGGCCAAGGAGCCAAGCAGTTGGCTTGGCGGAGCTCAACTATGGCTCGACATTATTGAACACGCACACACGCACACATACATGTATTTATATGTGCATGTGTATGTGTGTATATATATATATACATACACATATCAGTAATTCTATATATGCATGCAATTATAGATAAATAAATAAATCAATAAATAAATACATACGATATATATATATATAATTATATATAACATATATAGATATATTTGTTGTTTCAATCCAATACAGGGCTCCAATATGGCATGACACCATGCCACAAATTTGTACCCTTAAAAGTCCACCGAACATTGAAGCTGCTGACCGTTAGGTTCTGCCGCTGCGGCCTGGAGTTCTGTTCTGAGGCAGGGAGACCGGTAAAAGAAGATCCAACATGCACCCCAAATATCCTGATCGTTAATATGGTCCAGCAAACCATTTTCACTTGAAAATCATCAAGCCAATCCAAACATGTAATTTATTAAAATACATACATACATACATATATATATATGGTCGATTTTTGTTAAGTATACATATACATATACATTTATTTATTTATTGACTGATGATTAATTTATTTATCCGTTTTTCCGTTGATGTCCAATTCAAACATCAAGGCACACCCACGAGCCACCGCTGGGGCTAGGCTTGCTTCGTGTCTGCTTGGCACAATGAGCACCAGTGCCTTGCCAAAACCCGGGACGTCCAAGATCGGATAAATGCCGGGAATTAAAAAGTGAGTGAGCCAGCCCTTCAAAATGTGGTTGCTGTTATCCATCTACCTATTTCTACTCGTATCTATGTCTAATCGAATCCAAGCCACATTTTGATCTAATCTCACCTTATCTCATTTGATCAATACATCGATCTAAGATTCTATCCAATCAATCTAATCTAATCTATTCAAATCCAAATAAGGCCTCATCGAGTCTAATCAAATCAAATCTGATCTACCTGCCCATATATTTATTCATCTATTTATCCCTCCATCTATCATCTATCTATCAGTTTGTCTATCAATTTAACTATCTGTTTCCCTATCGATCTATCGATCTGTCGATCGGCCCATGTCTATAGTATCTATCGCATCTATCTTATGGATCGTATCTATCTTGTCCACCTACCTAGCTAGCTACCTACCTATCTATCTAGTCGTGTCTGTTTGTCTGCCTGTCTATCTATATATCCATGCGTCTATCTATCTATCTATCTAATCTAATCTAATCTAATCTTGTCTTACCTTATCTTATCTTATCCTATCCTATCCTATCCTATCCATCCATCTATCTATCTATCGACCTATCTATCTATCTATCTACCTATCTATCTGTCTATCTACCTATCTTTCTTTCGATCTGTCTATCGACCTATCTATCTGTCTATCTATCTATCTATCTATTGATCTATCTATCTATCTATCTATCTAGCTAGCTAGCTAGCTAGATATCTATCTATGTATCTATCCATCTACCTATCTATCTGTCCTATCCTATCCTACCTTACCTTATCCTATCCTATCTTCCTATCTATCCTATCTATCTTATCTAATCTAATCTTAACTACTCTACTCTAATCTTATCTTATCTTATCCGATCTTATCTTATCTTATCTATCTATCTATCTATCTATCTATCTATCTATCTAATCTATCTATCTATCTATCTATCGATCTATCTATCTATCTATCTATCTAATCTATCTAATCTATCTAATCTATCTAATCTATCTAATCTATCTAATCTATCTAATCTATCTAATCTATCTATCTATCTAATCTATCTAATCTATCTAATCTATCTAATCTATCTAATCTATCGATCGATCGATCTATCGATCTATCTATCTATCTATCTATCTATCTATCTATCTATCTATCTATCTATGTTGTTTCGTTCTGGCTTAGGCTAGCTGGGATAGTGGTCCCATTTGATTATATTTTTCTGCGCTGAGTGATTAAGAAGAATAAGTGAAAGCCAGAGTACAGGAGAATCAACAGCTACATAGATGAAACATGGAAGATATTCAAACTGATTTCATTCTTGTCGGAACCTCAGTTGACATGAGATGACCCTAGAACTTTCATGAAGACCCCAAGGAGGTGCAGCCAAGTGGACGATCAACAGATCCATTGTGGACCAGCATAGCGGTGACATCAGTGACAGCGGTACAGTGACAGGAACTGCTGGTTATGTATTACTATGATATCATTGTTATGACAAATCATTTTCATCTTTTTTATTATAAACATATATATATATATGTATAGATGCATATATTCTTATTGAAGTAAGGTTGCTGACTCACTGCAACGTGCTTGTTTGCACACGGGCTTCGTGGCTTGCCACGAGTCATGATGTCATGGCCCTGGCCCTGAAAAATCACAGGCTCTCCTGCCCATTTGCAGCGCAGATCAAGGAGGTGCGAAGCGGTGCGAAGCGCAGACCTGGGGCCCTGGGGCACCCCAAAGGTGGCAATGGAGAAACAAAGACATCTGTGGATTCTCATAATTTTAGCCAAAAAAAACACTAATAATAGATAATCACTAGATAATCCACATATATGGGACATATCCACTAATACATCTGTGAAATATCTTCAAATTGCAATTTTGGGTATTCCACATTTTCTTCTGGCAAACTCAAATAAATATCGCACTTTTTGGCTGTTGATATACCCCAAAAGCATTTGAAAACTGGAAACGCATGCATTACCTCACAGTATTTTCAGACATACCCTGAAAACATTCCGAGCATTTCCGGACTTTATGTGTTTATATATATATATGTGATATTGTTCATGCTTAAGGTCAACCCGTGTTTAATAAACTCTGACTCTTCATTGGAGGTTCCCAAAAAAAGTTTTCGAAATGACCAAAAAATGGTACCTCCCTATGAATAAACTGGGGGGTTTAGCAAAATCCTGGGTTGACATTCATCCCCATCCATGGATGATCCAGTGATCCATTAAAACGCCATGAATCCCCATTATATCCTCATGATGGCATGACTTGTTTCATTTTCCTCTGAAACCGCAGGGTCTGCAGAAGGCATCTAGTGAGCGCAGCGGTACAGGTCAGTTGGTTGCGCCTCGGCGAGAACGACACAATCTCTATGAAAGAATTTGAAAGACCTAGTATGTGCCAAGGTTGGTCCTATGTTGGATTGAAGCAACAAAAATGGTGGTAGAATGGGGATATCAAAACATGGCTTATCACCTGCGGAGATTACCCGGGATACCTCATGTGATGTGCCAAGGGTAAAGCAAAGATCAACCGGCGCTTGAGGCATTGGCGTTGTCGAAGACTCGCCCTGAGGTGGGGGATGCCGGGGATGCCATAGCTGGGGCTTGGACTATGGCTGTTATGGCCTGAGGTATCCGGGAAAATGGGGAAGCAGGATTGCACCTTCCCATCTTTGCATACCCAATTCGGACAGGTCTGACTGAGACTTATGAAGGGCAAGTCTGAGAGAGACTGGTCTTGCGCAAGATAACGTCACATAGATTCACATAGTATGCTTGTACAGCTATACAGTATGTGCATAGTATGATATGGGTATGGGCATGTATGGGCCAAATTTTGGTACACACAAGTCGTGAGTTTTTCATGCCGGAAGTGAACAAACGTCCACACCTTGCCTTGCAAGGTGATTGACAAGAGCTTGCCAGTAGAGGCACCACTTTGACTATGCCGGAACTGCAGGAATCCTACCCTAAGTGGACAATAAGCAGCAACAAATATTGTATCTTGAGATATCCATGGATATCCCATGTATGGCCAGGGAAACTCCTTTTTTGGGGGGGTGTTGCCCGTTAGCATCTGGGAACCTGGGTTAATTTTTAAATTATAATGTTATATTATATTATATCATATCATATCATATTATAGGACTGTATATTATATATATTATATCTATTCTATTCTATTCTATTATATTATATTATATGCAATTATAAATAATTAGATTATACTATGTCATTTATTTTGTTATATTATATAATAATCGATGTTCATCTATGTTTTGCCTTCTATTACATGTTTTATTGTACTGACACTAAATATATTGTGCATCATTTTCGATTTCATACCTCGTAATATTTATATATATATATATATATTATCATTATTAGCATTATTACTATTGCTATTATCATTATTTTTTCTCTTTATTGTTTATTTATTGTGATGTTTTCTTTATTTTTATTATTATTATTATTTTATAATATATATATATATATACGTACACGTATATTTGTGTAGGGGGTGTGCGTGTAAGTGTTGGATTGAAGCCACTGTTTTTCCCGGAAGGATGCCGCGGTATGCCGCGCATCAGGTGGCCACCGTAAACGGGACGGCAACTCCTCCCACTGCTCCTGCAGCAAAGGCGAACAGTTCAGGCCACGACAAAAAAAGGGCCCCAAGTCAGAATGAGTTGAGAAGACTCAAAATTAATAGAAACATGTAAGTTGATCAGTTTTTTCCCCCACATTGCTGGAGGCAGCTCGCGTCCCGGTACAAGTGCGAGAGGCAACATGATGCAACTTGACAAACATTGGAACGTGCTATCGGAAGAAAGACCGTTTGCCCATTAGAGACTGACTTCTCAACAATGATTACGATGCATTGCAGACATCGCGTGGGGCAAAAACACAGATCCTTTCAAGTGGATTGCTGGCAGAACATGTGGCCATCGACTGAATCAAGTCGAAAGTCATGGAGCTGTTGGAAGTCCAACAAGTTTCACCCTCCGAATATGTTCCCTTCATCCCAATGACCTGTGAATGGGAGAATCCATCCAGCCCATGATCCTGCAAATATATTTATGTGTTTATTTATTTATTTATTTTATTTATTTATTTATTTATTTTTATTCATTTATATTTGTATATATATATATATGTATATATATATACATACTATACATATAGAAATCTAAATGTTACAGGAGATATTGCAGTACATGTATGAATATATATATATATATGTATGTATAGCTACTCTATATGTAATTTAGCTATCATTTGCCATAATGAATAGACTGAACTATAACATCTTATAACCCATGGCTGTTATGGGTTCATCCTTGACCCGCGCCAAGGCTTGCTCAGATCGAACGATGGCGCCGCGAGAGCGCTGACAGCTTTGAGACGGTCGCGCGGTTGCAGGGTTAGGTTAGAATCCAGTCCCTCTATCTGGGTAGATTATAACCACCTCATTGCCACCTCACTGGAAGAATGGTTAGCAATGGGGTACTAACTGCAACTGCAACTGCAACTACACTACACCACACGACACTACAACGACAACTACGGCTGCTGCAGCTACAACTTAACTACAACTACACCTGTACAACTACAACTCTACAACTACACTACACGACACCACACTACGCTACACTACATTGGGCTACACCGAACTACAACTACAACTACAACTACGCCAGAGATAGATCATAATAGATAGATGAGATTAGATTAGATTAGATTAGATTACATTAGACTAGACTAGATTAGATTAGATCGACAGACAGAGGGAGAGATAGGGAGACACACAGAGAAGGTGACAGAGTGAGTTAGAGAGAGAGAGAGAGAGACACAGAGAGACACAGAGAGACACAGAGAGACACAGAGAGACACACAGAGACACAGAGAGACACAGAGAGACACAGAGAGACACAGAGAGACACAGAGAGACACAGAGCCTCAACCCAACCACCTTTCGGTCCATCAGTTGGTTCGCTCTGCCATTCGAGAGGTTTCTGTCGAAGTCACAGCACTGCAAATGCCATGTGCCCACCTTTTCTACCTGAAAGTCAAAAAGCTGCCTTGTGCCTGAAAAGCAGCCAGTCAGGTCAATTGGCTGATGAAATGTTGTGAAAATGATTGCACCAATATGTGTGCATGGTAAACACGAATTGCATTCACATTGGTCAGGAATCCATGCCTGACTTTCGCGCGTTCGGCAGGGTAAAAGGAAGCTTCAATCTACCGTCTCTCACTGCGCTCCACCACTGAGCCGGATTCATCTTTTTCGTGAGAATGTCGGCTAATTGTTCTTCCGTGGGCACCCAATGCAGTGGTGGCTTGCATGGTTTGTCAGGACGCACAGCCCCGATTCCATACCGACGCTTCCATTGGTGGATTGCTTCAGTCTTGAGGGACTGCCTAATAGCCGCCAAGTCGATGGCGAGGCGTCGCTCTGTTGGAGCTTTTGGTACTCCTTCTCGATGTAAATGGTCGTAAAGACTCTTGCAATCGGTACACAGGTGCACCTCTTGAATGCGCCAGCTTCTTCTTCTGGAACTAGACGTCCTTGTTGGAATGACAGCAAGAGGCACCGTAGATACAGCGCAGCTTCCATCGGCTCACCACATGCCACATGCCATAGTCTCGCCTGCAAACGTAGATCTGCAGACTCTTGTGCTCGCTCAGCTACGCCAGTCCACAAATGAGGCGTTGCCCTCTTTGTTCTCCAAGACTTTTCTGTCGGCGACCATGATCAGACACGCAAGCTGTGATGAAAGCTTGGTGTCTCCGTCCCAAGCTGGGTCGATCTCTTCCTCCAAATCCACATTCGCCCAAGCCGCATCGTGGAAGGCAAGGATTATCATGTCATTCACATCAATTTTCTTGAGCTTTATGCCTTCGTCCTTGAAGCGCTTGGCCATGTCAACAATCTTGTTGGTGTTCTTCACATCACCAACCGTAGGATTTGCTTGAAGACGTTGAGCCTGTGCTACCATGAATTGAATATCTGTCCGGGTCTGCTTCGCCAGCCAGGACAAACAGCGGACTGTCGTACGGTTCTGTTGGATCATTTCCTCAGGAGCTGGGTCATTGTCATTCAGCCCGCCAGGAATGCGCACCTTCTCCAGTCGGCTCTGTGCATAGTTCTCTTGAGAGATCTTGATCTCTTCAGGGCCAATCTCGTACTGGCACCCCACATACTCAAAGGCGTCGGTTTCCCAGTCATCGATGGGGAAGCGCTTGCTGATCTCGGCTTGCAGTTCTTGGTGTAGGGCTGGCTCTGTCATGATCATGAGATTCCCCACATGTGTCAAAATGGCGCCAACCACCCTGCCGCCGTGCCCTTTGAGTAAGAACACGCAGGGGTCTATCTCGTTCTGCTCCACGTAAATCTCCTCCTTGCCATAATAGGGGATCTTGATCTGCATCAACTCGGTTGAGAGTTTAATCCACCATAGTTTGGGGGCTGTTGAGAGCCCAAAGACTCCCTTCACGATCTCCACCAGTTGTCCAGGCATCAGTCCTGAGAAGGAGATCCCATGGCATATGATCTCAGCGGACGAGAAGGACTTGTTTAGAGCCGCTGAGCAAAAGCAATGGGATGAACATCTACAGTATGGAGCAGTTCGTCCGCTCTCATTGGAAGAGAGCGCCAGGGTGGAGGTGGAAGTCGGGAAGGAAAGAATTTTACCTTCTCGGTTCTTATACAGGGACAAGAACTTGGCCAAAAGGAGATCAGATCCAACTGTCGAGTGTAAAGCCAAAGCAAGACTGTGTGTGGGAGGACAACGAGACCCCGATTTGGGGACAACAGAGATGGCCGTGGATGCACCAACAGCAAACCGACACTCCATCCTCTTATGCCTGCTTTTGGCCTTGTCATGGAGCTGGCGGGTGTCTATCGGCGACATCAGGGCTGCCTTCCTCAATGGAGTGGAGGCGCCTCGAAAGCTCTACTTCAAACAACCTGTGCGAGGGCTACCACAATGCCTTCTCCAAAGCTTCAGGACTTCCAATACGCTTGGTGAAAAAGTTGGAACTGGCCTCACATTCGCTGACCCACCACCGCGAGGTTCACCAGGTTCATGCGTCCGGAGGTGCTTTCTGACTGACACCGGGACATCGTCCAAGAGCCTGGACTGCTTGGCAAGGCGCTCAAAACACACTTCTGCCTCTTGAGATCGATGTGCTCGTTCGACATCTCGAGCGCTGGCACGCCCGGCTTGTGGTGGTGGCTCATCGCCCATCACCGCCTCATCCAAAAGCGCTTCGAAGCTCATATCCTCGTCCACCTCCATATCACCCACAGCCATGTCGTCGACTGCCTCCTCGAAGTCAGCATCCAGGGCTTTCTTCACCTCATGGAGCACTGCTTTGATCCGCAACGCCTCGCTGACTTCTTCATGTTCTGCCATGCGAAGATGTTCACCTGCCGCCAAAAGACAACGACCACCACGAGCCACCCAGTAGTTAGAACCTTCTGGGCCGATCACAGTGGCAGGGCCAAGCCACCTGGAAGACACTCGTTTCCCTTTGCTCTTGTTCTCGCGGTAGACATAGACCATGTCGCCCGGCTTGAACTCCTTGGGTTGCACCCGAGGTCGATGAGCCAAGGCTTTCCGCACTGCATCTACAGAGTGGCCTTGGAAGAAGGCCATGCGCGCTGCCACTCTGAGAGTCTGTTCGCGCGCCATCTTCTCATCCGCAGTGATGTTGCTGAGCGCGCTCAATTGTTCAGCGCCATCTTCAGGATCTGGGACCAGTCTTCCGTTGCTTCCAAAAACCCATTGCCTTGGCGAGAAACCAGACCGGTTTCTCAATGTTGCGGGCTTCATTGACCGCAGCCGCTGCATCAAACAAGTCTTTGTCGGTGACGCTACACTCCAGGCAAACACGATCCCACACATCTTTCCATGCTCCATTGTATCGTTCCGCCACCCCATTCTGCCAGTGTGCCTGACCCGCGGCACTCCTCATGCAGATGCTGTCGCCGGAGGTGATCTCCCAGAAGCTGTCCTGGAATGATGTGTCTAAGTCAAGGATAATCTTGGCAGGTACCCCTGCCCAAGCTACCCAATGCTTGTAGAAGGCTTCGGAGACCACAGGAGCATGCGGACTTTCAATGGGTATGGCTACCTGGTAGGACGATGCCACATCCACCATGTTGAGTGCCAAGTTGCCCTTGGACTCCACCGTATCGATGTAGATGATATCCAGGGCCACCGCCTCATTGAAGTCTAGCAGGGTCGCCGGCTTTGTGACACGGTGCGCCGGCGGGCGCTTGCATCTCGTACAGGTCTTGCAGTGGAGGTTATGAGCTGCCGCCACCATCTCCTTCGGAGCTCTCCCAAGAGTCAGATGCTTCACCATGTCACGATTCGAAGGATGCCCAAGATTCTGATGCATCCTCCTCAGAGCACCAGCTACCTTGCCAGAAACCGTCCCCTTGAAGGTGATGTCGCTTGCCCCTCTGCTACCACTAGCTTCTTCGGGTATGACTTCCATCTCCAAATCTCGGCCCGTGCCGTCTTCAGCCACCAAAACTTGATGAGCTCCAGCGCTCTTGGTCGCCTCAACCACCGCCTCAGCAAACCCAGGCGGGTAAACGCCTGACCATTTGGTGTCTTTGCCCTGTACTCGAGCGTGTTCATGTTGTTGGTTGCACCTCCTCTCCAGCACTTGTCTGAAGCTCGGATCTGTTGCCATCAACTTGATGCTCTTCTTCAAGGCCATGCCAGGGTGTGCTATCGACTCCAGACCAAAAGCGCACATGTGGAGGACAAAACTCTCCACCTGGTTGTCACGAGCCCACCTCGCCAAAATGGGGTGAAGCCAAATGTCAGAAGTGGCTGGATTTTCAACCACGACATGCCCTCCATTCATGCGCTGGATCAAGAAGACCTCGTCAATAAATTCCAGAAAGACCTTCTCACGACGACGAATGCGCCGTCGCTCTTGCTTGGTGTGGTTCAGCCTGGAAAATGCACACCACGCCGTGCACGGCGGGGCCAGCCAAACCACTTTTGGCCTTCTTTGCCGCACCTCCTCCAAGATGTTTGCACGCACCTCAGGGTCACGTAGATCATCTCCATACCTGATATCTCGAGGACGCAAGACCCCCAAACCATGAGCAGCAAAAGCGCCGGAGATCTCCGCTTCACCGGCAAACACCTCAAGGCAGTGAACCCTGCCCTCTCCACCAAAACCCGTTGCCATCCACAGGTCTTGAATCGGCCCCACAAAGACCTCCTCCGCAAAGCTACAAATTGCACCAGCGCATGCCATCAACACCAAACTAACTAAGCTGCCGCCCCATGTGCTGCAGCTTCTTTCTCGTAGATGAGTTGATCTTCCTCTTTCGAATGCCCCTACGAGCTCTCTCCTTGGGGCTCACCACTTCACCACTGTCGCTGTCACCACAAGCCGCCTCGGCCATGAAGATGTTCCCCAGCATCTGGGCACCATACCCGCGCCAATCCATGCCAGGCTCATCATCACACTTGTCGCCATCGTCACCAACCAATCCATTCACAGTCTCATAGTTGCCGGATCCACCACCAATGCCCAGCCCGACTGTTGCCGCATTCTCAACAACGTGCTTACCAAGCCCGATTGTCGCTTTATACTCAAGGACGTCGTCATATATTTCGGCTTGCCAAGCCTGACGTCCTTGCCCTCTACAAAAACCTTGCCCTCGACAGTCTCACTGGTTGGTGTTCTTCCCTCCTTCACTCGCGGGGAACATCCCCGGCCGAAGCTGGCGGCACTCGGCCGCTCACTCGGTACTTGAAATCCTGGTTTTGTTATAACTAGTTGTGGAAGTTATGTTAGTTAATCAATGTTAACAACTACTTCTAACTATGTGCTAACTATGTTTTAACTATGTGCTAACTATGTTGTAACTATGTACAACTAAGTATAAGTGCTATGTTAAGTTAACATAAGTTAGTATCATATTTAGTTATTTAGCGAACTCAACTTAACTTCCCTAAATATTTAGCAAAGTTAGCAGAGTTAGCTATATCAAAAATATGGTTTAGAAAAAGTAAAATTTTGACCCAGACTGCAACAAACTTTGAAGCAAAAGGAAAAACAAATTGGAAAAAAAAACATGATATAATTCATTTATGTGGAAAGGCCCTTTGTGTTTGGTAGCAAGTTTTGATTTTAACAGAATGTTTTTTCTTGCTTTTTCTTTCAAACAAGAATGAAATTTATAGGGGCAACATCATGGCAAACAAATCGAAAGCTTATTGGCTGCCCATGCCATGCATTGCATTATTTTTCTTTGAGACAGCCAAGTTGTTCAAACCAATTGGTGTGCCAATCTCCTGCCATCCTATACAACTGGTTCAGCCATGGTCTCCATCAAGGAAGCCATTGAAATTCAGTACCAAGAGGAGAAGCCAGTGCTCATCCCACATAGCCTCATTTTGAACCATGAAGGTCAGAAGTATCTCAAAGTGAGACCAACATCCCAGCCAATTATTTACCTTCTCCATGGTAGGCAGCCAAAGAGGAATGCCAGTTTGTCACAGCTGGAGCCATTGGGGCAACTCATTGAAGCCAGAAACCAAGAGATCAAGAAAGTCCACTGTGAAGATCCAGGTGATGGAAACAATAATTTGTTTGACCAGCAGGAAGCAGATCCACCAGCCAAGAAAAAAAGGATTGCTGCACCATCACCATGTGTGGTGACCATCACTGTGGGTGACAAACTTGTGGATTGCTTGGTATCTGGCAAGAAGTTCTGCTGGAGCCAGACCACTTGGACCCAGTGATTTGCCACTTGAGGCCAGGCACTACCACTGCTTTGGAGCAGCCTACCAGATCCCACAAGACCACGAAGTGAGGCAGCTTGTAGCATGCCAATTAAGGGCATTTTGTGAGGAAATGGAAGAAAAGAGCTGCAGCCAAACCCTTTATGGCTACCCATACAGTCAGTTTGCTGCCAGCATAGGTGAAGCTCTCAGTTTGCCATTCATTTCCCAAAGCCAAGCAAATGGCTCCCCATGGCAAGAAATATTTGTGTGTTTTTTGTACCACATATGTCCCATGAAACCAAATTCAATTCGCTATGCTATTGATCTGCAATTGCCATGGCTGTGTCCCAAAATGTGTTTGAAGAGGCCCAAGCCACCAAAGTTGATACAGATGGCATCTGAAAAATGCTGGCAAAACTGGAAAAGATGCTACCTAAGCCAGGGTTGCAAGGAGACATCAATTGAAATTGATGCCATTAGCCAACATTGTCCACATCAAGGCTAAAGGGTCACCAATGCCATGGTTAGCTTTTATCCACCAGTGGCAATTCCAGCCATGGAAACAATATTGCCCATGAGTTTCCCAATCCAGATTGTTCATTGGTGCCATTTTGGTGGTGCAGGCAGACCAAAGACCAAGGTGATGCCAACCTACCCATCTCCCACCTGACCATTAGCATTTCAATCTTGACCAATGATGCGCCTATTGACAAGGACCAGCCATTGCTTTACAACATGGCCACCAATGATGGGCCACCAGAAGCTGAGGCAAAGGCAAAGGCTAACGGCCAGAAAGGGCATGCCACATAGTTTAGTATATAATTTCAGTAGTATAGTTTAATTTCCAGCTGAATAAAATGCTTGCTTTTGCTGCTACTGTGGCAAATGTGCACAGCACAAAGCCGATGCAGCCATACATTGTCAAACTGATTCACTGTCCATGTCAGCCATGCACCAAAAGCCTTCATGGCTACCCATGTATAGAGCATGGCAGCCATGTGCCAGTGCCATAACTGCTGCCCAGGCCCAAGCCATGAACAGGGCCAGTGCCACAGGCCAAGTAGAAATAGGATAGAAAAAATGATACCAGGAGGTATAAAGTCCTGGTGTGGACCAATGGGTGCCAAACATGGTTCCTTGGCACCAATGTGGTACCTTGCTGTTTTACAGCCAATTAGTTTCAGTTAACATCCTGTTTGGCTGGGGCTAGCCAGGCCCCAGGTGGATCCAATGGTCTTAGCCAGCTGGGATGACAGGCCATGGGGGATGCTCCATGCAGGTGATTTTCCAGAACCAGATCTATGCCCAAAGGCAATTTTAATCCATACGGTATTTTTCCCAAATAAACCTGTGCCACCACTTTTTTGCTTTCCACATGGTGCTGTTTCCAGGCAGGGGCTACCACCCAGGAGACCACCACATCTGCTACAAAACCTTTGCTAGGGCCCACCACCAGCCCAGGAAGACCAAGATGAAGGCCTAGAAGGCCATGAAGGCCCAGAAGGCAATGAAGGCCATGAAGGTGATGAAGGGCATGAAGGCCATGCCAGCCATGAAAGCCATGAAGACCAGCACCACCATGAGAGCCATGAAGGCCAAGTGAGAGGGCATGTACCATATATATATATATATATATATAAATATAAATACATATATATATATATATATGCCATTGTGTTTTTTTAAAACCAATGCATTTTTTTGGCAAGACCAGTGCCAGACCCTGGCCATGCAGAATGTGTGTGCAAAAGGTGCATGGGTCCTGGGATGGGATGGGGTAGTAATGAAAGTAAGCCATCTTGTCCATGGTTTTTCCCATGTATACAGTTTCAAAGGTAGCCTGTTGGCTTCCCATGGTTTCCAGTTTTATTGGTTGCAAAGGCCTCTATGGCTTCCCATGTCATGCCAGGCAGTAATACCACCACACCAGTACCACAATGCAGCTATTCCAATTTCAAAACAAGGTACTATACCATGATTTTCTAAAGGTTTTATTCTCCAAGTTTGAAGCCTTCCAACTGTTTATTTGTACTAAATGTCCACCATATCCATGATTTATTTTTTCTTATATCAACCATAGCCATTCCAGTGCTTAGGCAACAAGTCAGAGACCCATCCAATAGCTCACTGCAGTCATGGGAAACTCTTCCAGCTCACCAGAAGGAGTGAACCAAGTGGCCACTGACCCCAATAACATTGATGCCAACTACCAGCTTATACAGTGGCCAAGATTGGCAGCCTGGCCCTCCTGGCCAGATCCATCACAGCTGGAGGGCCAGGCTGCCAATCTTGGCCACTGTACTGTTATTGGGTTCAGTGGCCACTTGGTTCACTCAGTTCACTCCTTCTGGTGAGCTTGGAGGGTTTCCCATGGCTGCAGTGAACTATTGGATGGGTCTCTGACTTGGTGTCTAAGAACTGGGACCCCATAAGGGATGGGATCCCAATGAATAGAGGCCAACATCTATGCCAGCAATCTTGGAAAAAGGTGCACAATAATATATAAAAATAAAATTCTGTTTCAATTTGACTAGTATTTGTGTCTTGCAGATACATTGGAAGCCTTGTCATATAATACAACCACTGTGGGTATAATGTATCATTTTTATTATATGCACATTGTATAGTAAACACAAAACAGCATACTGTTTGAACACAATATCAATCATGTATTGTTTTGTGGAGTTGATTTGGGTTTGAATGTGTTCAAAAAATGAAAAATTTTAAGTATTGTTTTTTTTCTTGGTTTCACCTCAAATTATGGATCTTGGCCATAATTTTACCAAAAAAAAATGAAAAACAAATAGGTTTGGCTGTTGAATATAAGTTTGGTGGCAAAAACAAATAGGTTCAGCAGATGAACCTATTTGTCAGCACTTCAGAATGTTAGGTTCAGCAGCTGAACCTAAAATCAACACTTTTGGGCTTTAGGTTCAGCAGCTGAACCTAAAAGCAAGATTTTGGGAGTTAGGTTCAGCAGCTGAACCTAAATCAGGATTTTTGAGATTTAGGTTCAGCAGCTGAACCTAAAAATTAAATTGTGAAATTTAGGTTCAGCAGCTGAACGTATTTGTTTCTATTTTTTGGGGCTTTTGAGCCTAGAATGTCAAATTTGAGATAATAGTTTTAGTTGTTAAAGAAAACTTTTAATAAGCAAATGCATTAATTTAATATGAGCCAACAAGTGAATTTAAGATCAAACTCATTTATTTTTGATTTTAATTAAAGTTATTTTTTGAAATATTTTGTCGATATTTAGATACAACTAAAATTATTTATTTTTCATATATATGATTATTTGTTAAATATACAGTTTTGCCAATATTATATATATATATTTACATACCTGGCTTAGAATTGTAATTGATACTCTTTGATAATATTGGATATATACAAAATATTGAAATATGCAAATATATTTTGAAAGCCTACATGGCATCCCATGTTACAATACAATTAAAGCCTATACGGCCACCCATACCATGTACTTTGCAAAAAGGCCTTGTGGCCTCCCATACCATGATATATCAAAAACCATACATGGCATCACATGAATGTAAAGACAACAATATATGTAATATTCCATCCATGTTTGATATCATTGTGTTTCAATTACTTTGGTCTTTGGACACCCAATGTTATTATCATTGCATATATATGATATTCCAACCAACAAGAAATTTTTATGATATGATTATTTTTTGGTTCAAGCACCAATAAGATCAGTTATGTATACGCAACCAAATCCATTGACCACCACAGGTGACCACCAATGCCATTGTCTAGTTCACCTAGGATCTAGAGAGGTCCCAACAATCCTTCCTCCAAAGGGGTCAGGCCAGTCCAAAGGACTTGGCAGTCCAAAGGACTTGGCAGTCC